GTAATAATGGCCTATAACAACATTGTATTATCTTGTTTCGTCTCAAAAAAATTACGAATTAGAATCAAACCCCAAGTGATTTTTTTGATTTTGAAGGCGTCACTGGTTTCACTTGTCCAGTATTAACTTCACTCGCTGGCGACTGTTGTTGTCGACTGAACGCCGTCGTAGTCTGCTTAGGTTTTGCAGTGGATGTTGGAGTTGTTGTTTGAGAGATTGGTGTTGCTGCTGCTGTTGTTGTTGTGGAGAAATGAGGAGTAATCTGACTAAAGTCTATTGATGAAGATGTTGTGCTCGTTGATGGAGCTGGAGCTGGAGCTGAGGATGAGGACGACGTAACCGGTGCAACATTCTGATAAGATATCAACGACATTGGTACGACACTACTTGTTGACGGCATTCCAATAAACGACAGAGACTGCTGTAGGCTGGACGAAGATGGAATGATTTGCGCTTGTGCTTGTACGAAACCGGACAACACCGGCTGATCCGGTTTCAGTTCCACTGCATCTGGCGCCTAGAATCATGTATGTCAAGCATCACCTCGTAACACTCACCATAAGTTTTACTTATTTTAATGAAAACTGACATTCTTACAATTAGCGACCAAACGAAGACAACTTTTAAGTTTTCATTAGCCAAATTTCCAATATGTTAATTTCAACGTTCGTATGCAAATTACAAATAGCAAGAAAAGAATTGCAAAATAGCATGCGAAAACTGTTACTTATCAATCTCTCAAATGATTTAAAGATGCAAAAATAAAAACATAAAACGTTGTCGCCTCTAAAGACGACTTCTTTTATACAACAAAATAACACCACAGCACACGTACCGAAAGCATAACGAACGGAATCGATGTTGTGTTCGGTACGACAGTGGTTGGGGCAGTTGTTATGATAATGGTGGTGGTTGTGGTTTGTGGTGTGGTTGGAAAGGTGGCCGGTGGAAGAACAACATTCGCCGAAGTTATCGCTGTATCGTTGACACTGAACGAAGCAGCATTCGCTGTGTGAAGAGCCGATGTCTGTGAGAGAATATCATTAACTGTTGTTGTTGTTGCTGCTGTGATTGTTGGTGAGGGAATCATTTCTTCAGATGGCTTCAGTTTGATTACAGTTTGACCGGGATGATCAGCAGCAGATGAGTTAGAGCAAGTTGACGGAGGAGCAGGAGGAGGAGGAGGTATCGCTTTCGTTGCTACTTTTGTTGTCGTATCAGATGCATTCAACGGCACAGATCGCTCAGATATCATTTGGTTGGACATCTCGATTGTTGACGAAGACGAAGACACTGCTTGCTGTTGCTCGTTGTTCGATGCTAGTGCATTGCTGGATAGGTTTCGCTGCTGAAATTCCAATGAATCGCTAACAAAACTCTTTTGAAATCGCAACATAAGTGCAAGAAATCTTGAACGAATCCCATTTTCGGACCAAAAAACAGAACAGAATTCAATGAATGAGAATGATATTGATGTAGATGCTAAAGAAAACAACTTCAATATCTCCATCACCGTTATCTGGCGATTGCCCACAACAAGATATTTGTAAAGGGAGCACACTGTCAAGTTTTCATGAATTGATATAAAATCAATGTATATTTTTCTATTCAGATTGTACCAATACGATAAGCAATCAAAAAAGTCGTTCCAAATAAAACCCTCGTAAAGGATAGAGTTCCTGCTACAACTCTGCAAACAGCGTTCACACTCAACAAATCGTCATTCCATTAATTGATTTACTGACAATGAGAATATTCTTATATATTTCATAGTTTACTGTTAAGATGTTCAATTTTCGATCAAAGACGAGGAAATGAAATGAATTCGCACTACAACTATATTGTTAAAAATCACTTACGAGTTGTCGTTTCGAGTAACGTTTTTCGGACTTATTCGACTCCATCGAAGCGGTACGTGAGCGATGCTGAACGGAACAGGACGACGTTGAGCAAATCGATGAGGCACTCAGTTGTGCGGTTGGTATTGGGATAGCGGTTGCTGACTGAATCGGTGCTTGTTGTTGCTGCTGCTGCTGGTGGTGGTGCTGCTGTTGTTCGGTTGATGTGTACAACTGAGACGAACCAGAAACGAGGCTAGACGTCGTCGAAAATGCTTCAAGTCCACCCGATGGTTCGGCAGTTGTACCAGACGAACAACGTTGCTGTTGCTGGTGTTGTTGCTGCTGCTGCTGATCGTTCTGGGAAGTGGATAGGCAACGACGACTTCAAAGAGAGTTTTTATTGTAATTCCCAGTGTTATTCACGAGTAATTCATTCAATTCAAATCATAAAGAACATGAAGTTTCAACGAATTTCATTCGAGAAACAACTTAAAGAATCTGGCAACTACCTGAACGACGTATATCCAAGAACATCACCACAGCTGAGCGCCTCTGTGGGAAGTGTTGCATCCACGGCACTCGATCGCCATGCAAAAGCAGCGTCCAGTGTGGCAGCACCAACCTTATCTGGTACGAATGACAAGAATGCCTTCTCGGACACCTCTTGATCCTGCAATGAAGACAATCTTCTCACATATAAATCACTGACTGACGCCCAATCGTCCATCTATGCGTTCGCATAATAACAACTCGAATCAGATTCATGCAAAGATCGCTAAATTTTGAAAATCAGCCATTTTTTTCTCTTGAATATATTGCCCTTGCAAATTCATAGATTGTTTCCATGCTCAATTGCTCCAACGAGCAACTTCCTCCTCTGTTTACGGTTGTCAAAATTCATCGTTCTCAACTCAACTGTAATATTTAAAAAAAAAAGACCAAAAAGTCCACGGAAAAAAGACTAGAACTAGATTCATTTCTCTCTGCACATACATTGAACTCCCTTCCCTACTTGGCAAATGTGATGATGATAAGAAAGAGGAAGGGAATAAAGCAAAACAAGGAAAATAATCAACTATTGACTACATCACACACACACTTTTTCTAAAATTTTAATTTTCGCCGTTTCAGCCCAAACGTCGTATCGAGCATTCCATCCCAAATAATGCACAAAGCAACACATTTCTTTCAGATTCGCTTCCAGCTGGTCGTTAAGCCATGACGATGCGGATTGCTTCAACACGTCACTTCCCTCTTGTTTCACATCCAGTTCCGCACAACTCTCAATCTCCTCGCTGTGCCTTCAAAATAATTCATTCGAATCTACGTACACTTAGCGATATTTCCATTGCAAAATTATTAGAAATGAAATTTCGTTTATTAAAAAACATTCGTTCACAGATAACTCTTCAAATAATTACAGTGATCAAAACAGAGTTATCAATAATTCAATTCTTGCTGACATAATTCAGAATTGACACCTATATGTGCGTCTGAATCCGTTTCGAAAAATCACAAGAAAATGAAGTTGTCAACAAAAAATCTCACG